AATGAAATGAAAATTTAAAGGAAACACGTTAGATCCCAATGCAGAAAAACGGAACTGAAAGTAGAAAAATAAATAAAAGATGGCAGACTAATAATATCAAAATATCACAAACATCAGCCAAAGAAATTAGACAAAAGTAGCGACACCAATACAAATTCTGACACCAGTACAAATCACTCCACTCAGTGGAGTAATAAAGAACTCTCCTGGAATACTTGGTGCCAATAACCTTGGCAATTTACTTATTTATATTTGTAACCAAAGTTTTTGAGTTAAATTAAAATTATGACACTTTGCTCTTCCCTCTGCTCCCCCCAAATCCTCTCATGTCCCCCCCCACACTCCCTCTCAAATTGATAGCCTATTTTCCTTTACTATTCACTATATGTATAAATATATTAATACAACCTGCTAAGCTGGCTAGTGTGGGTTTGCGTAGGGATGACCACTTTGCATTAGGTAACCAACTACAGGCCTCATCCCTAATTCTACCTCTCTCAGCAGTCCTTAATTCCCAGTAATTCTTGTCTAGGAGTGAGACCTGGTGAGATTTCCCCTTTCCACACTAGCACTGAAAATTAAAATGCAATGGACAAATCAGATGAAAGAAAGGCTTACCAAAGTTCACTTTAAAAAATAAGCTGAATAGCCCTGAAGCTATTATATGAATTAAATTTTTAGTTAAAAATCTTATCATAAAAAATTATAAGTTCTGTGAAGAATTCTATTAAACATCTAGGGGAAAATCATATTACTCATATACAAGCTCTTAGAAAAGAAAAAGGCTGGAACATTGCCCTACACATTACTCAAATACCAAAACCACAAAACTTGTGCACATAGAAAATTCTTCTAATTTTAACATATTAAGCCTAGCAATGTGTGAAATTGATAAAAAAAAATGTCATGATTAACTGGTCAATCTCAAGAATGCAAGGTTAGTTGATCATTAAAAAAAATCAATAGATGTTAATACATTCAGATGAAAAGCAAGAATCATTCTTTTTAAAAAAAGATTCACTTTGTGTGTGTGTGTGTGTGTGTGTGTGTGTGTGTGTGTGTGTGTGTGCAAGTGCATAATGCATGCACAGGTGCCTGTGGAGGCCAGAAGGGGGTAACAGAGGGTGCCAGATCCCTTGGAACTAGAATTATAGTTTCTGCTGCCTGATGTGGATGCTGGGAACCAGATCCAGGCCCCCTGAAAGAGTAACAAGTGTTCTTAACCACTGAGTTGTCTTTCTACCCCAAGAACCATTTCCATAGGAAGCAATTGATTAAATTGCATTTCAATGCAGACGGTTGCTGACAACAGTGGAGTGAACTGAAGGAATCTGAAGTGGCTCCCGGGAAACCCTCATCTAAAGTGCTAATGCTGAGATTCTATCCTAGGACATTTTTGTCAGGTTCCCTTTATAGTACGTTCTGTCTTGATATAGTCAGCTTTACTAATGTGAAATTTTCACCCCAAACTTGACTTGCTTCAAGTACACATCTCAGTTTTTACATTTCTACAAACATGTAGAGTATACTGATGCCTTTATGATATAGACCACCCCCCCTGCCTCCACCAAGCTTCCATTCAGCCAGTTCCCTTTCTTCACCTCTCATCCCAGTCCTTGAAAGCCATTAACATTCCTTCAGTCACTCCAGGTTTCCTCTTCTAGAGCCCATGAGTGGGATCTTACAGCGTGTTTTCTTCTGTCTGACTTTCTTGATTCACCACAATGCAGCTAGCTTTCCTACAGAATTGTGTGGAAACCAAGTGATATCATCCCCATTGCTGAGTTCAAAATCAAATGACCATTTACCCGTTCCTTCTTGAAAGAAATCTGGGGTGGTTTCCATTTTGTAATTATATAAGTAAAACTTTGCTGCTGATGTGGAAGTCTTTGTATTTCTTTGGGGGAACACATGGAAGGGACATATCATATCATGAGGTATATGTTTAACTTGATTAAAGACAACCAGATTTCAGAGAAAATTTCCAGTTATTGCAGTTTCCAAACAAGAAATGCGACTTCCAGAGTTCCAGCTGCCACACAAGGTTCATAAACCTTGCAAGTCATTTTTGTTGAGATTCATGTTACAAATTTTGTTGTAGAAATTTCAGTGACTATGCAGTGCTTATTTCCTGGATGTCATTAACAGTTCCATTAAAATAATGATCATGAATATTTTTGAGTGTTACTTAAATATGCATTTTTTGGTAAAGTATCTGTTCAAACGTATTTTACATTTGGACGGAGATGTAATTCAGTGGCAGAGTGCTTGTCTAGCAGAGGTGGATTCCATTTCCAGCACTAAAAAATAGTGTGTAGAACACATTTATGTATGTATTTTCACTGTTTTGAATGTATAGATGTATATGTGCACATATTGTTTGTTCTCTTATTGCTGAGTGGTTAGAAGCTCTATATAATCTGAACAGAAAGGCTATTACTAGAAATGCGTCGACTATTTTCTTGTTACTTAACTTTCGTTAGAGAATTTCTTTTGTAATAGCTCATCTTTTCCTAGTCAGAATGACCAATTGGGGAAAAACAAAACAACAACAAATGACAGCCCAGTCTGGTGAGGATGTGGGGAAAGGGGAACACGCATTCACTGCTGGTGGGATGTTGTCGACAAATTTCTAAGCAGTCTTATTAAATAAAGAAAATGGAGCCAAATATGGGGGTGAAAGCCTTAGCCATCAGGGAAATAGTGAGAGCCACCAACCACCTTACCTCACCAGCTCTGTAGCTTCCAAAATGCGAGCTACTTCCTGTCTAACTTGCACCTTTATTGCCTTGCTGTTCTGCCCTCTCATTGGCTCTTATCCCAGCTATCTCACTTCCTTGTCACTGCTTGTCTGCACAGACCTCCAGGTCTCTATGGTTGGTACTGGGATGAAAGGCGTGTGTCACCACACTTGGCTCTGTTCCCTAGTATGACCTTGAATACACAGAGACCCTGCCTGCCAAGTGATCGGATTAAGGGCGTGTGCTATCACTGCCTGACTTTGTGTTAATGGCTTGCTGTTTCCTCTGATCTCCAGGCAAACTTTATTTATTAATATACAAATAAAATATCACCCCATTTCAGCACAAATAACATGTCACCACAGGATGCAAACTGGTACAGCCACTGTGGAAATCAGTAGAAGTTTCCTTAAAAAGCTGAAAATAGATCTACCAAAAGATCCAGCTGTACCACTCTTGGGCATATACCCAAGGTCTGTATGTCTTACCACAGAGATACTGGCTCTTCCATGTTCGCTGAGGTTTATTCACAATAGTCAGGAAATGGAAAGGGAGAAGATGCCCATCGACTGATGAATGGTTAATTAAATTTGGTACAGTTATACAATGAAATATTATTAAGGTGGTAGAGAATGAAAATTATTAAATTTTCAAGTAAATGAATGGAGCTAGAAATGATCATGCTGAATGCGGTAACCAGAACCAGAAAGACAGCAATTACATGTTTTCTCACATGTGAATGTTAGCTTTCTCTTAAGTTTTAATGAGAGCATTTCATTTGGAATACCCACACAGCTTTGGGAACTAGGAAATGGCCATGGGGGATAAAGGGATCATTCAATGAAGGAAAAATAAAACATAGTGCTTTAAAGGGAGGAAGGGGAAAAACAGAATGGGAAGGATTGAAGTCCCCCCCTTTACCCTGCTCTCCCATTTCCTTTTCCATTTAGTCCTGATTACCAATTCCTGGCACGCCCCTGCACAGAAAAGGGTGGGAGGAAACATACAGCTTTGCTAACTCATCTTACAGTCATGGATTCATAATTATGCTGTTGTTTTTCCGAGTTCACTTACCGTTGTTGACATTGATATCACAAATCCTCATCACCTAAAAATTCTACATGGTATTTTCCACACTAAATTGTTTCCTCTATTGCTGGGAAAACAACAGATTCCAAAAATGCCTACTATACATCTGTGTTCGCTCACTATCTTATGCCACTTTGAATAAAATGTCCAAGATCTCAGCAGATGCTAACACTCCATGCATGCCCTAAGGCTCATGATATTCTCTTCTACCTAAACATAGGCTTCATTTTAGTTCATCCTGGGCCAAAATCCTTCCTCTGCCCACTTCATCATCCTCACCCCAACATAAATGCACTTCTGCTTCATATTTTAAAAATAAAATGAATTTCAAATCATTGTGCTTGAGCCCATGCCTGTATTAACTACTACCTGTGTTCTTTTATTTTACAGTAGTACTCCTGGAAAGAGCAGTTTCAAATCTATTCTACTAAACTCAACCAACCAGGCTTTATCTCTTAATACTTCGTCAAACCTTCCTAAGTCCCTGGGGGGAAAAAGGCTCTTGTCACTTATTTTTTAATTAATTAATTAATTAATTAATTAATTAATTTTGGTTTTTTTTTGAGACAGAGTTTCTCCGTGTAGTTTTGGTGCCTGTCCTGGATCTCACTCTGTAGACCAGACTGGCCTCGAACTCACAGAGATCTGCCTGGCTCTGCCTCCCGAGTGCTGGGATTAAAGGTGTGTGCCACCGCCGCCTGGCTCATCTCTTGAGGGTGGTAAACTCTTAGTAGTGTCACACCTTACTTGTCTTACAAGTTAAATTTTTTTAGAATAATTTTTAAATTTGTATTACATATGAGTGTTTTGCCCACATGTACATCTGTGCACCATGTGCATGCCTGGTGCCTGTGGAGGTCAGAATGTTTGGATTCCATAGAACTGGAATTATGGCTGGTTGCAAGCTGCTAGGTGGGTACTTGGAATTGAACCTGGGTCCTCTGTGAGACCAAATGCTCTTAGCTGTTGAGTCGTTTCTCCCCTATCTTGGATATTTTTTTATTGTCAAATATATTCATGTGCAGTGCTTAAGTTGCCTATGTAAACAAAAAATAAAACAGACTTCTTTAAGTCTGGGAAATCTGGGAAACAGAGTCAGGATGACACACACAGTATTACTCACTTGTAGCCAAATATCTAAACAGTCTTAGTAAGAAACACAGAACCAAATACAGGGGTAATAGCCAAAGAGATCAGAGAATTAGCAAAGAGCCACTGACTACCCTTTAGTTTACCACCAAGCCGTAGTTTCCCACATGAGAGACTTCTTCCTGCCTAACCTGCATTTTTATTGCTTTCCTGTTCTGCCTTCTCATTGGCTCTAAGCCCAGCCACATGACTTCCTTGTCACTGCCTGTCTATACAGACCTCCAGGTCGCTGTGGTTGGTACTGGGATTAAAGGCTTGTGTCACCACGCTTGGCTGTGTCTTTGACCACACAGAAACTCTGCCTGTCATGTGATCGGATTAAGGGCGTGGGCTACCACCACCTGACTTCTGTTCCTGGCTGGCTATGACCTCTGATCTCCAGGCAAACTTTATTTATTAACATACAAATAAAATCACATTTCAGCACAATTAAAATATCACCACACTCACTAATCACAGAGTAAGACAGACTATATTAGTGAAGTTTAAACACTTCCCTGAGAGGTACCGGTAATACCTTGACAGATACTTTAGCGATGTAAGTATCACAAGACTCCTAACTACAAGTGTTGTATTTTTAAGTTCTGGAGATGGAGTGCACAGCTTGGTGCATCCTGGGAAGCACTCAACCACTGAGCTATGATGCTTCCATGCACTAAATACAACAATTCAAAAACAGATGGCCAAAGATTTACATACTAATAAAGTTCTCACAAGATAGTTTATATTGTAAAATTTTATTTATAATTAAATTCTGCAAAATATATGAATTGGCTTCTCACAAATAAGAGACAAAGTCTGTTCCAAGAGCTCATGCTTAATTACATAATGGAGTCAGGACAGTATTCTTTAAGGCTACTATTCTTACAATAAGTAGAAACATGAATCACAAGGGTAGCCACAGAAACTGTTATGTTTTCTTCCATGAAACTAATGTAAGTCATTCTTCTTAAGACATTTCTTACTTATTTTTAATTTTGGATTGTTTTTTGGTTTCTTGTTTTTTATTTTTTAATTACATTGTTTTGGTGGGGACAGGAGTGGAGGGCAGGGGTAACTTGTGGGAGTCGGTGTTCTTCTGCTACTATGTAGATCATGGAGATCTAACTCAGGCTATTAGGTTTGACTCTGACACCTTTATCTGTTGCAATCTTATTATTTTTTCACTTCCTTATCTTATTTATTTATTTATCTGTGTTTTTGAGATAGGGTTTCAATATGTAGTCCTAGTTGGTCTGAAACTTGCATCGATGGCCTGCCTCTTGTTTCTTGAGTACTGGGATCACAGGTGTGGACAACCTTGTCCAGTTCTGTGTCTACTTTATCAAAGAAAAATCAAAACCACCCGGTTCCAAATGAGGTCACTGTTGGCAAAATGTAACGGTCATAACTTCGATATTACCTGAGTTTCCAATAATTCATCCATCACCAACGATGTAAATGATTTCTGTCTGCAATGCAAAAGCTTTCACATGAGAGGGGGTTCCGGACTCTTAGCACTAAGAGCATCACTCAGGAACACACAGCAGCTGGAACCTTCAGAACGCGCTCGGGCTCCAGACAGGTGCTCAGCAGACAAAGCACGGGTTGGGGTCATCTCCTCCTCTCCTCACTCACTTGGTGGGAGCCAAATGTGCAGTGAGTCTAATTAACATGCTCAATTTACCTACCTTCAATTTACAATGCCCTTTAACGATGCCATTACTGGAAAGCTATTGTTGGCGCGGACAGTACAAAACCTGATTTGGGAAGAAGCATATTTTAAACGTCTAAATGTCCCTCAATTGAAAACTGTATGGCACCTGTTGCCTCACATGCCGATGAAAATGAATTTGGGCATGGCTCATTTTGGTAGAAAATTTTTAAAAAGTAGTACTAGTTTTAAAAAGTATGGTTATATGAGCAAACAATACAAAATAACATATGATTTTTTAAAAAACTGAAATTCGTAAATTAGTAACGTATTTGATTATTGGCTTTCAAACAGTAAATGGACAGTTACAAGAAAATCAGACCCTCACATGTTAATCCTATGGGTACAGAGACTTCTATTTAAATAAAATGTAGTGTAAATCATTTCAATTTAGAAATCTATTCTTCTTAATGTTTTCAAGTTCAGTACAAATCAAATCTATCACCAAGAAATGCCACGAAATAATAGCAGAATGCTTATCAGCACGGGGGAGACAATCTGTCTTCTAAATGAGCCATGTGAACTCTATATTGCCAATGAAAAGTTAGAAATTGCTATCAGTATAAAAAGCACCTCCTAGAAAGGCAATCATGTCTGAGGACAATGTCCTGGTAGATATCCTTTGTTCCTCTGCAGGGGAAATGAGCAAATGTGCTGTTGTCTGTGTTTTTCCATATGTGCAGTCATAAAAAGGAAGAATCTGGGCTTTTGCCCATCTCTGTGGACTCTTTCTGGTACTCAGGTCTTTTGTTCATTTTTCTTCCTTCCTTCCTTCCTCCCTCCCTCCCTTCCTTCCTCTGTAAACACAACTGCTTCTTCTTCCCGAGTTCATTAGAAAAGCATTACACAGTAGAGATGAGGAAGGGTGAGATATTTCATTCTATGTCACTATGACATTCCTGACATAAATGCAATGGACTTTGACTCTATTTGTCTCACATGAGTTTTTTAAAAATATTCTACTTTACAGTTCTAGGCACATCTACAGTGTGCATGTGGAGGTCAGAGCACAGCTCTCGAGAGTTAGCTTTGTTCCTTCACAATGTGTGTGTGAGGGGCTGAAATCAAGTTGTCAGGCTTGGAGGCAAGTGCCTTTACCCTGAGCCATGTCGGTGACTCCTCAGCCCTCCACCACTTTCTTATAATCCCTGTGCCTTTCATACTGCGCATCCACCTACCTTCATGCCCCACCCCCCAGCTTCCATATAGGAGATAAAACTTGTGATGCTTGCCTTTAGGAGACTGCCTTTTATCACCTAACATGATCTACAATCCCAATTTCCTGCAAATGCTTAATTTTGTTCTTCTTCTTCTTTTTTTTTTTTTTGGTTTTTCGAGACAGGGTTTCTCTGTGTAGCTTTGCGCCTTTCCTGGAACTCACTTGGTAGCCCAGGCTGGCCTCAAACTCACAGAGATCCGCCTGGCTCTGCCTCCCGAGTGCTGGGATTAAAGGCGTGTGCCACCACCGCCCGGCAATTTTGTTCTTCTTTAGGGCTGAGTAAAACTCTGTTGTGTACACACACATACCTTGACTGATCCCATAACCTGGCTATTGTGAATAGTGCCAAGATAAACATAGATGTGCAGGGATCTTCATGGTAATCCAACATGCATTTATTTATTTCTATCATATAAGTTATGTGGCTAGGTCAACCTAGGTCAACTTTTAGTTTTCTGATTTCCATAGTAGCTAGATTAGTTTATATCACCACTAGCAATTTGTAAATGCCTGTCCCAATCCTGGCACTTGTTTTCTTGGTGATCGCCATTTTGATGAGGTAATTGTTTTGATGGGCATTTTCCTGATGGATAAAGGTGATGAGCCTTTCTTCACGGACTCATTTTTCATGGGTGCTGCATCATCTGAAGGGTCTGCTTATCTCCCTGCCCATTTGTTGACAGGAGTCTTTTTGTTCTTTTATTATTTTGTAGTTTACTTAGTTCAACATATATTCTAGCTATCAGCCTCTTATCAGGTGAATAATTGGCAATGATTTCCCCAATTTGTACCTTGCCTTCCATTTCTTTTACTTTACAAGAATGTAGTACAATTTGTCTCAGCATGCTTTTATTCCCTGAGTTCCTCGGATCTTATTCAGAAGTCATTGCCTATTCCAGATCTTCAAGTGTGTTCCCTGTTAGTTTCAGATTTTTAGGTTTTACAGTAAGGTCTTTGTTGCTTTTATAAGTCAAACACAAATAAAAACTAAAACTTAGGACTGCTCCTAAGAATTTAAAGAACCAGGAACTTGCAGAAATGAACTCACTTCATTTCACAAACTGAGCAAACAGCAACATGAATATATTCTGTTCAAAACCTCTCAGTACTCATGTACAATGCATGGACACACAAAGCACGTTATCGATGTGGACAGAACACAATCAAGTCGCCTTGTCGCCTTTAACGAGGAATAAAACGTAACTTTAGAGTGCCCCTCGTGGTCTAAGTGCTCTGCACTCTAATGCTACGCATGTCTCTCAGCAGCACTGGCCGGTAGTTTTGCTCCAAAATCTCCATGTATTCAAAATAGTTGCTCACTCGAAACCCACGTAGTGCTTCTTCCTGTCAGGAGAATATGAAGGGAAGTTCACTTGCTTAGAGAAAGATACACAATTCCAAGTGAATAATGTTTAAGTAGCTGAAGGACCATTTGTTCTCAGCTATAGATGCTGGGGCAAGTTTACATAGTTAGTGAATGTGTAACTGCTTTTCATTTGGGGAGCTGTGTCTGTATCTGTCAGGAATGAAGCATGGCCTCATGGAGCAAGGTTATTTTAAGAAGCAAAAATGCTTTGCAGTTAACAACAGCAGCAGCAACAGCAGCAAGTCTTCCTAAAATTTTATGTATATTTCAATAGTTTAAATATGTAACTAGTAAAGGCCCAGAATTCTCTCTAAGACCTCTCTTAGCCTGTGGTTCACAATGCTAGCTAGCACAGGGCATGTAAACATCATTTTTTGCTTTAATGGTTAGTGTCCCAAACGAGGCAATCAAGAATAAACAGCATGAACATCTATTTATTATTTTAAAGTCTTGGGGGTGGGGGTTGGCTAAGCCTTTCAGCATTCTCAAATATTATCTAATATAGTATCTATCTACCTGAACATTTTCTTAAAAATCTTCCGAATAGTCATTCTCAATTTAACACAACTATGTTAGCTTTTGAGGATATAAAAAATTTGGACAATTTATGCCTTTCACAAGTTGATAGTTGAAAGACAAAAAATGAATAGCATAAACACAACAGCAATCCAAAAGAATGAAAGGCAATACATATTATGTACCAGATAGTTTGTTAGCAGTGGTAGAAGAGAGACATCAATGTAAGGTAGCTAAAAATACATAGAATTTTTCACATTTTAAAAGCTTCAAATGTACTTACAGATATATAAAAAAACCTCATATATAGTCACTTATGAGTAATATTTCACAGTAAATAGTTATGTAGAACTTTACTATTAGTGTGCCATGTGTCACTTAAAACCCATATAATTTGAAGAAAAGATACAATTGAAAAAATTATTACTGATCAGCAAAGTTAACAGATGCTGAAGAAACTAAATGGTATTTAGTGATGATATCCACCATTATACCATTCAACACAAACATGAATTCCACTTTTCACTTTAAGGTAAAAGACTGTTTCATCTGTTCTTTCACTGTTCACTCATACATCCTATTAGCATAATGTAAGCTCTTGGTTGTGCACACCACACTCAAAAGAGAGGGAGGTAAGAATTGTATCATAGACTGTTAACAGCCAAGGGAAAACATGCTCTCCCATTAATAAACATGAAACTTCTCTTAGGGTTACTATTTCAGCAATGAAACACCACAACCAAAATAACTTGGAGGGAAAAAAGGTTTATTTGGCTCACACTTCCCCTAAGCAAAGGAAGTCAGGACAGTAACTCAACCAGGGCAGGATCCCAGAGGCAGCAGCTGATGCAGAGGCCATGGAGGGGTGCTGCTTACTGACTTGCTTCACATGGCTTGCTCAGCCTGCTTTCTTATAGAATCCAGGACTACCAGCCCAGGGATGGCACCTCCCCCACTGATCACTAATTAAGAAAATGCCTTGCATCTGAATCTTATGGAGGCATTTTCTCAACTGAGGCATCTTTCTCTCTTATGACTCTAGCTTGTGCCAAGTTGACATAAAACTACCCAGCACACAACTGAACCAAAGAGGAGATGTTCAAGTGGACATGGTCATACACACTTGTAATCCTTGCCCTTGATAGACTGTGGCAAGAGGACACTAGATTCAGTGCCATCTGGGCAACACAGTGAAGCCCTGTCTCAACAAAGAAAACAGAACAAATAGACGTTCACTTGATTAATGGCAGAATATTGGGTCTGTGTAAATTTCTGTCTATCAAAATTACTTGTCTACAAGGGCGAAAGGATCAAAGTCAGATCTACCTTCCTGGACTAGATTTCACCTTAAATAGCTATTGTAATTATAGAACTCTTATGAACTTACCCACTTTCTTTAAATTATATGTGACTTGGCTTTCATCATTTCTACACTAAAAGTATCCCTAAGTTGGAAGGCAATTATAGTAACATCTTTCCTAACAGAGAAATTCCAATGCTGTGAGAACTTCTTCAGGGTGAATTCATGATTTTCAAATAAAAGCTTATTATTCATTAAATGCAAGTTAAAATTAGACATGGCAGTACTCAAACAATAGCTCTAATAATACTTTTCTGGCCAAAAAAAAAATCAAAATATACTTAACATCTCTTAATTATTGTTCTACTTTCATTTAAACATAAAACTACATAGGGAAGCCACAGTTAATACTTGGCTTAAATATATTTCTTTCTTAAAATATATTTTTTTCAACAACTGATTCCTCTTTTAGATATTAATTTTAAGGTTAAAAGAAAATATTCTAGTAACCACACTGAAGAGATATCATAATATTAGCATAAAAGGTTACAGAGGTTACATGGTATAAGGAAAAGATTTAAATATACAATTTAAATGCAATTGTAAATGGTACTGTTCATTTTAAAAAATTGGCAGGCAATTTTATTTCTGAATAAAAATTTAAAGTACCCATGTTTCAGTTTTAATCTTTAAAGTAGAATATTTTTCATCTTACCCTGGACATTCTCTAACCCTCTTCTTGGGGGATAATCTTACCTGTGATTATGATCATTTAGATTGTTAGGCTATCACTCAAGTTGTAACTAACCATTTCCTCCAAGTGAAGTTTCATTTGCAGATCTAAGTGCATTGGAATCACCCTGCTCTATGAATAGGGAAGCATGTGCAAAGTACAGTTTTTTAAACAGTTTTAATATTTTTGTTACAATAGTAAAATATTTGCTCAAGAAAACACTAATAGGTTATACTGCAATAATTTAAATCTGGGTTACAATATTCACTGAGAGAATGCTACATTTTGTATTATACCTAACTGCTATTCCATCACTTTGCTTTAACTCTGGGTTTTAGATATTGAACTACCAAAAAGCATTAGAAATTAATTCTTAACCACAGTGCTGTGTGTTATTACATGATATGATATAAACATAGCTTCCTTCTTTCCTTCAGATATACATGTTCAATTACAAGTTTTTTTTTTTTTTTGAGAACATTTGATCAAGGTCCAGTGAATTTAGAATATTATTTAAAAGATAACTATACTAGTTAACCAGAGACAATTTGAGTTAATAGGATTTAGATTCGGCCAAGAATGGTTCAAAATCTCTCCACACTAATTCTTAGATTATGAACTTAGGTAAACCTATGGACTGTAAATCTTGATTTTTCATGCGCCAATGGAGACCACGATACTAGGGCTGCTCTATGGACTACATATTCTAAAATGTGAAGTCTTATCATCGAGCACAAAGCCTTCCATGCTCTCTGTCCTGTCTCTTCCCATCTTTATATGCTCACCTTGTTCTGTCCGCAATGTTTGTCCTGATGCTCTCGGGCAGTGGTTTCTCAACCTGAGGGTCGCCACCCCTTTGGGGTTGAATGGCCCTTTTACAGGTCGCATATCAGACATTCTGTACATCAGGTATTTACATTGTGATTTATAACAGTGGCAAAATTACATTTATAAAGTATCAACAAAAACAGTTTTAACGATGGGGGTCACCACAGCATGAGGAACTGTATTAAAGGGTTACAGCGTTAGGAAGGTTGAGAACCACTGTTCTACAGGGATTCTTGCCTCTGAGCTTTGCAGCTGCCTCTCTACGATTTTATGAAGGCTTTTCCCCCAGAGATCTTTACAAGGTTTTTCTTTAAGGCATTCATGGCCCTCCTTATCCTTTTAAGTGGCCCAAACAATGTCTTTGATTCCCTCCCCATGGCATAGTGTCCTTCAGTAAAAAGTATAATGTCAGAAATATCTATTTAAACTGTTTCTCTCAGCAGAATTAAGAACCAGGTGGGACATGGACATTCTATCATGCAACTACAACAGCACTTGGGATACAGATGTTAGAGTAAGTACTGGAATAAGTCAGAGTGAATAGACAATACCTCTAAAAATCCTTTGTCCATGGCCTCATGTTCAATGAGCATTTAAAGCATTAATGGTGGCCATAACAATGTCAACCACCAGTCTTTAAAATACCCTCTCCTGAGCACATATCAGGCAGGGAAAAGTGAGGGTGACCCATCAAGGATTATTGATTTCAGCTCCTGCTCCTCAACTCTTTGCCAAGAACATAAGGAGCACCACCAACACTCAGGCACCACTGTCTTTTCGCACAAATCCTCTGAGATAAGCCTATGAGGAAAGGTAAGTGATACCTGTATTTCTAAAAGCTCTTTGTATAGGTTATAATTTTCAAAGACACTAGAGACTTATCTGTCAAAAACGTTTTTCAGCAACCAAGAGCCCAATAAGCTTAATATTTTAATTTAATGTTAAGTAGACACAAGATACAGAAAGATCAGTGTGCTCACGTGGCCTACCATCCTTGGTTTTATGATTTTGTGACTGAGTCTATTCATTTCCAAACACTTGATTATTAATGTGTTGACAAGGTTATGGTAACTTTTCAAAAACTAATTTACAGAGAAAAAATCTTGGGTGGGTTAAAGTGGAAGAGAGTTGATTTACTAAAACTGTAAAATTTAGCAAAGATTACTTAAATGATTTGCATTAGTGCCAAATCTCATAAGAGCACTTCCTTAAGAAGAGTATTTTGTTCAGTTTAAATATTTATTATTAAAAACATACACCCATTGGGCTAGGGAGATGAATCAGTGGGCAATGGCACTTGCCACACAAACCTGATAACCCAAGTTCAACCCTTGGAACCCATGTAAAAAGCTGGGTGTGGTGGCACCTCTGCAATCCCAGCACACAAGGATAGAGGCAAGAGAATCTGCAGAACACTCATGCCTGAGTTATGTATCTTTCTCATATGTCTGAGGAAAAGACCAGATATATACACAAGCACATGACCTGATCCGTACAACCAGGCAGGTGAGGGAGTGTGTGGTTCTGGAGAGAACACATTATTAAAGATTTAGGATAGGGCATGTGCCTCCTGGATGTTTAAACTCAACTGAAAGCTACACGTGATGATAAGAGAGATGACAGTTCTAGCCGGGTTAGTGAGGGAATGGCCCTGACTGAGCGCAACCTTAGTGTGTTTCTGACCAAGGTGGGAAGATCATATCCACCACAGGCATTACTGTGATGCTATGTGCTAAGATGACTCAGATACTTGGTATAAAACAAACAGGTAAAATATCTACAGGACAAAAAGTAAACCAAAGGTTAACATAGACTCCAAATATATTATCTTCTTTACCATAGATGTGCCCTAAACATCTTTTTATTAACAGAGAAGCAAAAGAAAAAGATGAGTTGGTGTGGAGATATAGAACCCCAATCATTACTAATTCTGGAGCACGTGCTTTGTGTCAATCAATGTTCTACAAGTATTTTTGAGGTATCTCATTTAATTGCTCAATAACCCCATGCAGTAGTTATTGCCTCATCCCCAACTGTACAGATGAGGATGCTGAGACATAAAGAGATTGAACAATGAACCCAAGCTTACATGATGAGGGAGAAACAAAGCTCGAGTCTTCAATGTAGACAACATCTGAAAACACAGCCAATGCTGTATTAGGCAGGCTTTACTTATTCCCTGGGATGAACTCCTTTAATAATAGGTATACTTTTTATCTCTTAAAGCTTAGTGTTTAATCACTTTTTCTCTGTCTAATCTCCATTTTCTACTCTGTCATTACCCTCTGATAACAGCAGCTTCAACAGCCAGCAACAAAAAATCCCTCTCAACAATTTACTGATTGGGTTGAAATCAATCTGATTTTTCTCATAATTACAAATTAATTTTCTATAATATGCATGATTCAGTGGAGGAATTTTAATGAAGTATTCTGAGCTCTTTGCCTTGGCATTTCAGTGAAGTTTGTCCCCAGGGAGCACGACAGATGAATGCTAACAGTCCCTTCCAGTCAATGAGCATGTGAGAAGAGAAGGAACGTGCAAGGTCAGTCCATGGGACACTCAGATTTTCCCACAAGACCCTATAAACAAAGCTCCCAACAAATCTATGTATATAGATACGCTAACTAACAGTCTTGTTATATAGAAACTAGTCAAAATTTTCTGAAAAGAGAAAATGTTCCAGATCTTCTAGTTAGCTAAGAAATTTTAGAACATTAATTTTGTTGGATGTTTTTCTCTCTGGAATTGTTGTGGCCACAGACTTTCAGTAGCTGTTGCAGATAAAAATGTTTGAAATCCCTAGCATCTCAATAGACAAAAATTAATAATGAATGAATAAAATAGATGAATAAATAAGTAAATGTGGAACAGTAGGTCTGAGAATTGAGCTTGAGTGCTTCATCATAGCTTCAAAAGTGTGTCTCACTAAAGTGTGAGGATAACACACTTGACTGTTCTATTATCCAGCCCACATTTCATTGTTATCTACAAGGATATTGTGAAAAACAAAACAACAAGCCAGGCATGGTGTTACATGCCTTTAATCCCAGCACTCAAGGCTAGCCTGGTCTATATAGTCAGCTTGAGGTCAGCCAAGACTAAGTAGTAATGCACTGTCTTAAAAATAAATAATAAATAAAAAAAGATAAAATTAAAGCAAGAACAAAAATACAGAGAGTACTTGGCTTCTATCATCCATATCCATGACATTTACTGACTCTGACAGCTTAGTGGTATAGTGAGAACAGGAAAATCAAGTATCCATGCAACTCCATCCAGCTGCATCCCCATCCAACCCCAGTGCTCCAACAGTGAACTAGGGCTGACAATTAGTGGTGCTCCCCACTTGTCTTTTCAGTTTAGTGATTCAAAATCACCAATAACTCTCCAGTGGGCTGGTAGAAATGCAGGCAAGAAGTCTAGACTCTCAATGGTCTGATTTAAAACTCTTGAGCCTAATCTAAAATGAATATGGATGGGCTGATATTTTCTCTATAGAACACATTTCACACAGAGTTTCCTTTGCAAAGCAAGAGTTTGCCATGACATGCTCTTAATCTCAATCAATATGTGAAACTTAAGTTGGGAAAAGAAGCACATATTTCTAACATTCAAGAGTCATCTAGCTTTCTAGAGGTTCTTGGGGTAGCTGGTGATAACTGAAGGGTTATTAAACATATCTGAGGTTCTCGGTATGCAAAACACTAATTCGCTTGTGCCTCGGTAACATACGTGTATAACAGTCAAATGCTTGTTCTATTTATTTTTACATAACGAGTCATCATCCTTTTGTTCCTTAAATTGCATTCCTCTTGTGTGTGTTTCTGGGTGCACGTGTCCAACAGCGCCTATGCAGAGTCAGAGGACAAGCACCAGGAGTCAGTTCTCTCCTTCTATCATCTGTGTATCCTGGGATTAAATTTAGCTTTCCAGATGCCTTTATACACTGAGCCATTTCTCTGCCCGCTCATTATCTTTTATAGATAACATACAGTTTATTCACCAAATAAAAATTGAGTTGTTTTAGTTCAGCTTCTTTCCCCTTAGAAGTAGTATCAGCGGATATGCAAACAAAGGAATAAAATGATGGAATTGTCAATGCAAGGGATAGTATCATAGCTGTAGCTTATGTTTTATGGAGAAATACTGATAAGTGGTTTTTTTCCCTTCAATGAGTCAGAGTCACGTGTTACGATATGTGACTATATACAACTAACTGTGAGAATTTTTGCACATACAGCCATATATTTTCAAGCAAGATGCTTCTATAGGTCTTAATGGAGGTCAAATAGTATATATGCATATACATGCATTTAAGTAAACTACATCAAAATTTATCCTGCGAGACTAAAATGCCCATCAAAAGAGGCTTTTGAGAACTACACACCGAAAGTGCAACAACAAAAATTAAATCACAGTACCAGCAAGAAAAGTACCTTTTCCGAGTCTCTCGGAAAAATGCAAATAACAGAATTTAAAAGGCTAGCCCTAGGACACATGCTAAAGTCAGTTCCTTGCCAACACGGTCTTACTTGGGATTTAAGCAACTCAATGCAAATTCTAGTAGTTTCAATAGGAATTAGAGGATAACCTTTGCACCACCATCGAAAAACCTTTCAGTTCAGCTGACAGCACTATGGTCAGTACACAGTGGAGTCTGGTCCACCTTTAGAAGGGTCATCACTTTTAAAACCTTGCTGCAACTGTCCAGGGAAAGAGGACACAAAAGAAACAATTCAAAAATTTAACAATGGTGGTTGTTCAGTAGAAACAACACTAGTTTGTTCGTCTAAGACATTTTTCTACTTATTTTCTCAACAAGTATTTATTGAGAAAGCGTTGAAAAAATCCTTCACTAAACTAGACAGACCATATCACAGTTCTTTTAAAGCTAAAAGGTATATTGGAAGAGGATGAACAGAAACATCTCAGATAGTAATAAAATTTATATAATAAAATACACTCAAAGGTTAGAGAATTATGTGTTAGGGGAAATTCAGATATAAGAGTATAGATAAACACTATACCCTAAAATTCCATGGCTGATGAAATGTCCCTGAATGCATGTGAGCCCCACTGCCTTTAGTACAATCCCTGTGTTTCAATGGCCTATTCTTAGATCACTCCAGACAATTCATTATTTTGGGTTCTGTCTTAGTGTTCCTTCTATGTGTATTCTTTTGTCAAACATTTTCATTAAGAATGATCTTAAGATTATAATTCCAGTGATGTTTATAGTTTAAGATGTTTTTAATTCAAAATGTTTTAAGCAGAAATGATTGACAGTCTTAAGTGATTAATGGCATTATCTTAAAGACATCACTAAATGGAAACTAATTCTGGCAAATACCTAATAGCAAACAAATCCTTCATCTAGTGAAGGATACATTCACATTTAGGTGAATGAATGTGTTTTGTGACTGTTAGAAGGATGGGGGCATGAAGAGCAGAAAATGCCAAACTCAATTATGATTTCAGTATTATACAAACAGTTGGATTTCTTAGAAGTTCAACAAGAACTACATATAGCAATGTATTTATATATCATGCCTGCTAATCTCCCAAGCTTCAAATATATTACACTGTGATTCAGAAAGTCACCAAAATTATTTTTTTAAAGATACTATCAAATATTCTAATCTTGCAAGTGCTATGAAAGAATATTTTATGTAAACATTTTATAAAAATGGAAAATTTAGAAAAATATTATGAAACATTTATTTTTTTATAAGTATCAACCTTTAGAACTAACAAAATAAACTGAGCATTTATTGATCAAATATGATACAGCAATAACCTGATTAACTTAAAGCTTTGGACCCATCTCTACTCTAAGTGTATAGAATTTAGGCAACTTAATTCCATGCCTCCCTTTCCTCACTTCACAAATGAAAACAATCAGATCTACCACTCAGAGTTGATTTGGTGATAAGTGTCTAGATAAGCATTTGATAATTGTGGTGGTTGGGGTGAGAAGGACCTGCATAGGTTCATATGTTTCAGTGATTGGTCCCTAGTTGGCAGAACTGCTTGGGAAGGATTGGGGGAGTGGCCTTGTTGATGGAGGTGTGTCACTGTCCATTTCCAGTTAGTTCTCTCTGCTCCCTGCTGTGGATAAAGATGTAAGTTCTCAGCTACTGTCCCAGCACCATGCCTGCTTGCTGGCTGCCATGCTCCCTGCCATTATGGTCATGGACTCTAAGTCTTTGGAACTGTGAATCCCAAATTAAATGCTTTGTCTTATAAGTTGTCTTGGTTATGGTGTTTTACCACAGCAATGGAAAAATGCCTAAGACAACAATAAAGTGTCCCAAGTTAGTGATTAATTTTTAACATCTTTCCCCCTTAGACATGAACATACTTACTTTGAGAAATACTTGTAGATCTTGAGTCTGGGTGTGCTGGAGAATGTCTCGCTGCAGATGTTTGAGAACAGCTATGCAGACATACACTTGATAATCAGGACCAAGGACAACACAAGTAGCAATATAATGGCATATTTCTATCCAATCCAAGTAATTCCAAAAACACTGAGTTATCCATTGTAGGCAAATCTTAAAGGAAAAAAAAGAGGAAGAAGTTTATTTGAAAGGAGTAAAAAGCCACACTTGCCTATTAAAAAGTAGTAACCAGTAACACAAGAAAACAATAAAAAAAAAGCCTTGCATTTAATCAAAATAGGCATTTATCCTACTGCCTTGAAATTCTGCTTGTTTGGCTAGTGGCCAAAAATTTCCTGTTTGCTGCATGTATAAGACTCGTGGTCTCCAGATTCAGGAGCTAAGGACCCGAGAATGTCTGTACTGGTCATACTCCTACTGCTAAATGCTTTCTTCTGACATAACTACCTTCCTCTTACCCAAAACACCGGTCTCCTCTCTTTTCTGCTAACAAATGCTAAGAGGCTACCTGAGTCCAGGGATGTTCGTTTTCTTCCAGTCCACCTGTAATCACAGGTGGATAATTATGCAGATGACAGATTGCAAAATCTTAAATGCAAATGGCCTCTTGCTGAATCAGAGAACAATTGAAAATAAGCAGAATCAAAGAACGTAAAACTGGGACTAACATAGAGAATAATTCAAAAATGAGACTTTCACAAAAAGGCTTCCTTTTTTTTGACTCTTTAATCAGTATATTACTGTTATGTATTAACTACCCCAAGCTCCCCTCAAAAAAAAAAAAAAATCAGCAAAGGCTCCACCTCAGAATTTGACCTTACTTGTGGGTAAGGTCATCATAAAGGTAGTCAAGTTCAAATGAATATCAGACCTGGGGCTCATCAGATGACCAGGGCTAAGAGGAGCTTGGGAGGAGAAAGAAGCAGGTATGATGGCTTATCTCAACTTGACAGAGGTATTAAGGACCCAGACATACTCATTCTTTTTGTTCTATCACTTTGTCCTTTAAAACCTTTATTCTTAAATCTAAAAGGTTCATTTCTACCTCTTATTCCACTTTTCACCATGCTGAATCTGCTTTCCTATGGCTAACATGTATTAGTTTGCCTTGTCTGCCATAACAAAGAAGCAGAAACTAGGCAGCAGAAACAAGTAACTTCCTTATTGTTCTAGAAAAATCTAGGTCACAGTGTTAGTGGGGCTGGTTTCTTCAGACCCTTCTCTTCCTACTGTGTAACTAAGTGATGGTCTTCTCCCTGTCACACATATGGTCATGGACCCCTGTAGATGTCTTGTCCAAATCTCTCCTTACAAGTCATCCTGAGCTAGGCTCCATTCTGATAACCCAGTTTTAACTTAGACACTTCTCAGGCACCTTACATGTAGGACAGGTGTACTGGGAGGCAAAGAAGGTTCGGACTTTACCATGTGATTACTGTGAGGACACAATTCATCTATACCAGACTGCATTACTGAATTTTTGTTTTCCTATATATTATTAATTATGTCAACTTCTGACCTTTGAATTCCAGTCATTAAGAGCACATTTTTTTTAAATCTCATCCTATGATAATGCCTTTTTAAATATTGCTGACCATATGGTAAATGAAATTTTAAGTTTGTAATTACGTTATTAGGTATTCACACATTTAAATATCATTCATGGTCATAAAGAAGTAAGAGCACTCATGCAATGAGAAAACTGTACTATAGTTTTCCTGAAAATGTTGATAACCAACCAAACAAGCTTATGTCAAAAAGCATTAACATGCAATACATATTATTTTTATGAAGTAAATTATTTCAACTGGTATCTAGATTACAAGAAAAATAAAGGAATCAAAACACTGAAGTCAAACAATTGATTGCGAATATCTAAGGAATGAAAATAAATGTGATTTCTAAATAATTGACTATTTTATTCAAAGACATTATTTTTAGCAACTCTTTGGCCTTGCATTATTTATTTTCACTATACAAAAATAAATGTAAAAAGGAAAAAATAGCTTGTGAACTGAAGTGATTTTAAAGCCAGGTACAGTGACATCAAGATAAAACCTCAGCACTTGGGAGGTTGAGGCAGGAGGACTGCTTCAAGTTTAAGACCAATCTGGATTACATAGGTAGACCCTGTCAGAAGTGTTTCTAAGAGATTTCAAAACAGTGAATGCGTTCACTCCATCATTCTTGAATTTCTCCATTTTTCACATGATGAAAGTTACAAACACATCTTCAAGCACAAACAATGATTACAAATATGGTATTATTTTTGTTATACATCTGGAAGATCTGGTTTCACTGCATAATTTTACATTTCCAAAAAGTACTGTGTCATAAAACATGAAAGAGTTTTCTGGAGTCTTTTTTTCATAACGAAAGTAGAAAGGAACAAATGATGATGATGATGATGATGATGACGATGATGATGATGATGACGATTATGAGGATGATGATAAATACCACATGGAGTTTCATGTACTCTGTGCAGGAAGGTTAGTCAAGTTTGCTTGCTTCCTGACACAGTCCTGTGTAATAATCAGTGCTATGCAGGATGGGGCCCACCAAGGAATAAGAGATGTGCCATTAAAGATACATGCTGCTTTATAAGTCCAGACTGTGCAGAAGATGCAGTAAGACAGGTTTGTTAGCAAAGGCTAAAACTGTTGGGAAGTTAATTGGAATGTGATTTTAAATTGCTTACTGAAAAAGAGAATGTAAATTCTGCTTTCTCTTTTCTCTCCAGTTGCAGTTACTCTTAGAAGAAACTCCAATCAGCAAATGCGCTTTTCTAACCACATTTAGTTTGGTGTACCGTAGTTGAGCCTATTATTTTCACTCTAGAGATCTGTATATTTCATTTAGCAACCTTCCCACAAATCCTTCACTAACTAGCCAACTCCCTTATGCCTAAAAGTACACAGCTTCAAAAAGCACTGCTCCTAATTAGATCAAAATGAATAAGCTTTGAAACACAAAATCTATACCCAAATAATGACTTAATCATGTATACCTATTCAGTTACTTATGCCTGTTTTTATATTTTATAATTAGCAATAAAGTGGTAAATAATCAGCAAAGCAGTGATGGGCACTTAAGACAAGTGATTAGCTTACACCCAGAGCTGCTGAACAGCTTTCTACATTATTAAAAAGAATAATATCACTGTTCAGAAATAATACCTTATTAAATAAATGCATTACTTATATACAGGCTTCTTTTATAGTTTTGTTTTGATTGCTTGCTTATTTCTGAGACAGGCCCTCACACCATAACCGACTGGCCTAGAACTCACTATGTATCCCACAGATTGTTCTCAAACTCATGGCAATTCTTCTGCCTCACACTCTCAAAGGACTAGGATTATGAATGCGAGCTAAGGTTGTATGCAGTTTTATACTGATGAAGGTTTATCAGACTTACACAATATATAAAAGTGACAGATGAACATTTTTCTTTTAAACATTAAATTGATAATATAGGACCTGAGATATTATGAGATAGAATGCCTGCACAATCTTTGGTTATTCATTTCTAAATATATATATATATATATATATATATATATACATATATATATATATATTAGAGACTAAAAATGATCAGAAGCATTAAACAATGTTCACCCTACCTGTCAATAGTAGGACAGCAAACAGTAACTCTTAGGAACAATGCTCTCAACACAGACTTTTAGAAGATATAAAAGCATCAACTTATAAATTATAGTAAATATATTGTGTTTTTTAAGCAACTTCTTCCAGAGTGAAAATTTCTGTGATTCAAAGTTAAAGCAAATGTTTCATATACTAAAAGCTAAAAATGGTTACAAAGAATTATTCCTTCCCCACTGAATGGAAGTTCGTGTTATATTTAAATTTCGTAATAACTTCCCAGAACTTCAGCAATCAGACTAGCTCACAGAGGAACACGTGATAGTGATGTGATACTTCATAAAGGTAAGTACAGAGCACATATTATGTCAAGGGGAGCTACTCTCTAATTAAGAGGGAGCTCTCTCTAGTAGGGTAAATGCAGGAATGAAAGCACAGTTTACAAGGAAGGAAACTACCTATGTGTCACAAAATGGATCCAATAAGCCATTACTAAGTTAGTGCTTACTGTAAAAAAGCTGGCATAATTCTACTTGGTTAACTTCAAAGTTGATTAAAGAAAATGAAAGATAAGCCAAGAATAGAAAACTTCTTCAAAAGTGATAATGGTTAATTTTTAGCAATATGTAGTTATTACCTACTGAAAAAATGGCTGAGTAATTTTTTTACCAGTTTAAATATAAAACAATTCATGAAAATATAATATAAATAGTATATAATATAAAAAAACTGCAATTTAGACTTATTTTTGAATAACTGGATAATTTGGTAAAAATGAAGAAAAATAGCATGTTTATTAAAAGTTGGGGGAAAAGGAAAATTAACGTAGGTAAATAAATATAATCTAATTAATAGGTGACTTTTCTTAATTTAAATATATTTCCCCTATTTTAGGGGGAAGCATTTTGTTTAAAGTCAGTGAGCCGGGAGGGGAAGAACTAGAGCCCCCCGTTGGATTACCTGTGATGGTGCAAAGCCAGACATGTGGAAAGCTGAAAACACAAGGGGCACCTCGGCCTTCAGCAGCATTTCAATGTAGTGAGTGCTGCAGAAATAGACGGGATGGATGCCAGTCTCAACGGTGTCGACGGGAAGGTACCGCTGCATGGAAAGGACGTGGAAAACAGTAAATACACGGATGGCTTATGATCATCAAACATACACTCAGCTGCATCTTTCTGCTTACGCCATGTTTTGCTGCTTTCCAACTTAGAGGGTAGATACAGATCAGCTGAAAGCATGCTTGCCTCAGATGCACGAAACCCCGAGTTTGAACCCAGCACAACATAAACCAGGTATGCTAATCTGTAAACCCCACAAGTATCAGAAGTTCAAGGTCATCCTAGGATAAACAGCATTTGAAGTCTGCCAAGGCTACTTGACACCCTGCCTCAATAAAATGAATTAAAAGTTGAAAACAAAATTTATGTGGTGATGTCATACAGTATAACAATTATAAATATGTAAATGTCATAAAGTTAAACACTGTAGAGTAATAAACCTCAATAAAGGTAAGGTTATATATCTTTCCAAAATAGAAGAATAAGGGTAGTTTGTAATTCAGGAAACTTCAAAGCCTGAGAATGAGAAGGGTTGCTTGGAAAAAATGAATAATAAACATGTGAGTAATGATTCCATGGTAATATTAAGAATACATATTTAATAGTGCTGGTCTCCACCAATGAGTCCATGTTAAAAAGCTTTAGTCAGCTTTTACAATTGTTTGCCTAGTTCCACTTCATTTGTTGATTTTAACTCATATCTGGACTTGAATTAATTAGAACACGAACTGAGAATTCCATAATAAACTTACTTCTAAGCTGGGGGAAATGTATAATGTTTACTCAAAGGTTTTCCATTGCTGTGGGATGCCTTTCTGTATGCTGTGAATATGTGTTGCTCCCATTGGTTAGTAAATAAAGCTGCTCCTATGGCAGGGCAGGATATGGAGCCAGGTGGGAAACCTGAGAGAAGGGGGTGGCGAGAAGAAAGGCAGAGTCAGGGCGGATTCTCTGAGCCGCTGCCAGGAGAAACAAGATGTAAGAGAACAGGTAATGCCACGAAGCCACGTGGCAAAACATAGATTAATAGGAACAGACTGAGTTAAGTTGTAAGAGCTAGCTAGCAAGAAGCCTGAGCCACAGATGAAACAGTTTGTAATTATTAATTAATAAAGCCTCTGGTGATTATTTATAAGCTGCTGTGGGCTGGGTAGAACACAGGAAAACTTCCATCTACCTTTGGTGCCCAGATGTGGTGGCAAGAGTTTCCACCTAAAACCTGAGAGAACTCTAAAACTTTAAGGGAATTTTTTTTTCTTCTTTAAGGGCCTCTATCATCTTCTTAAAGTCATTTTTAGGATTGATTTCTTCTGTTTCTTCTGTCTTGGTATGTTCAGGTCTTGCAGGTGTAGAATCACTAGGTTCTGATGTGGTCATATAGGTCTTTTTGTTGTTGCCTGTATTTTTGCACTGGCGTCTACTCATCTCTTCCTCTGCTCGGTGCAGGCGGTGTCTGTGTCTGAAAGTGCCTCTCTTTTCTAATTTTTAGTCTTGGTTCACTAGGAGTTCCTGGTTAAATTGGTGCTGTTGGGCTGTTTCTTTGGGAGCAGCTGATCTCAGTCGGTGAAGTGTATACTTATGATTCTGGTGATCTGGTGGCTGGGAGGCGCCTTCTTCTGTGTTCTCAGGTCACGTTTTGCTCATTCGTCAACTCCTCAGCTGATCTTGTTTCCTCAGACTTCAAACTGTAGGGATCTGAATCCTCTCCCGGATGGATTTCAGCTGACCAGGGTAGTTTCACCAACACCTTCAAGTTGTTGGGTTTCGCAGGATCAGCAGCTGGGCCCTGGGTTGGCCTCAGACAGAGTGTTCAGATCCGTTCTGGTTCCGTCCCACAGAGATAGCTTCTTCCCCGGGTGTTGGGATTAAAGGCGTCCCTGTTTCAAGCTCTTGATTAAGAGCTTGTTTTCACTAACTCTTCAGCAGGTAATAGCTCAGTTTCTGGTCTTTATTGCAACTGTGTTTTGGCCACCACCCGCCAGGCCAACCTGTCTCTGCCGGCCACCGCCGCCGCCGCCGCCGCGCCTGTCTTCGAGAGGCGGTGGTGGCGCACGCCTTTAATCCCAGCACTCGGGAGGCAGAGCCAGGCGGATCTCTGTGAGTTCGAGGCCAGCCTGGTCTACAAAGTGAGTTCCAGGAAAGGCGCAAAGCTACACAGAGAAACCCTGTCTCGAAAAACCAAAAAAAAAAAAGAGAGAATTTAAAACTTAAAACCTGAGAGGAGAATCTAGAATGGAGCTAAGAGCAGCTTCCTAGTTCGTGTCTCTCATTACATTCCCTGCCAGGGGATGTACTGCTTCCCAGAATTGGGGAGGTAAGCCTGACTCACTGGCATCTGCAACATGTTGAAAAGCCGAACCTGGTGGAGCCAGCAGCCAAGGCTGCTGCCACTTTTGTCCTAGCCATGCAGCTTAACAGTTTACAATTTCTCCCGGTCAGAAAATGATTACAGATACACAATAAGAACAGATTCAGAAGGAAAAAAATTATAAACAGGTTACAGTGTATTTAAAAATACACGTAGGCTTGAGAGAGAAAAGAAAATGAGTAGGAAAAAAAAACCTTAAGAAAGAAATAGAGTAATAAAAAATATAACAAGCCATGTAAAGATGGAAATTACACAGAGAGTCTGGATACTGCATATTATTGTGTTGTCTTTATGATTTTTTTTAAACGCAGAGAGACATTTGATTGTAGGCTCTACGAAGTTGAACCAATATGTATATTTTAAAGGAATCTTGACTTTAAAATTTGAGTCTAAGGATGTGTTGCTTTGGAAAATAGGTTCTGCTTTTGTTTCCACAGAGGATGAGAACCTATGGATTGCTTTCAGGTTATTATGGTTCAATTAAACGAGATTCCCTAAAAAATCTCCAATAGGAATAGATGGCCCAGATGATGGAACATTTCAGAGCACCTCTGTTGCAGTTTCCTCTGAGTTCTGCATCCAGAAAGGCTTCAAGGCTACTGGCTGAAATGATCCAGCTCAGAGACTAGTCCAGTCAGGATTTGACCATAATCCTAAATTTTCTTTGGGTACCCATAAGATTACCAGCATCCCCAATCAACAGGAAGTAGCCTAGAAAACTACACCCACACTCCCAAAAAATGGATTATGGATGTTTGTCTTTTTTAGGGGTGTTGGTTATAAATTGTTATTGGTCATAGTCAATCTCTTTCTAAAAGAAGAAAAGGGGGATATGAGATAGAAATGATCTACTTTCATCCAAAAAAATAACTATTAATCTTACATATAATATAATCTTACATATAATCTTTACATTACCATTGATTTTGGTTTATTGATACAATTTTAAAGTTAATTTTATTACATTGTATGTATATTTCTACATTCCATCACCAATTTTCATGAAATTTTATATATATATATATATATATTATACTAAATCATGTATGTGTATATACATTTGTATCTATATATACAAACAGGTTTTTTAGCAGTGTGCTTATAATGTCGATCATTCTAAAAATTTAGTTTTAGGGTTGGGAATGTAGTATAGTGTAGTGTTCTGACCTAATGTACATGAGGAGCAAAGCTCAATTCTCAGCTTTGATTAAAAAAATAGTTCTTATGATTATGAAAGATTGAGAGTATTTATTTGTTATGACTATAAATTCAATATCAACACAAAATCATCATTTATAGCAAAGGATAAAAAATCTTGAAGATGTAATTGTGTCAAGAAAACTATTTAATAGCAATTAGATCAAGCAAAGTTGACACTCAGCCTTGAAGACTACATAATTAAGAGCTGGCCAAAAGAAATTTTATTGGCTTAACTTTACCTTATAGCTCAACTGTTTTTTCCAAAAAATCTTATTTAAATTTTTAAAAATAGAAATTCTTGCTTTTAGATAAAACAAATAGAACTCATAAAATTACATTAAGAGTTAAAATATGTGGATACCATTTTGGACTTGTTGTTATGATGTGAGGATTTAGTTAGGCTTATGTAATGAAGTTTCTGAAATCACTCCATGGGTTTAACAGTGATTTTCATTTTTTGCCACTTATCACAAATGATTCATTATTCTCTCAAATTACAGAAATTTATAGTTGTAGGAATAAATCAGTACAAATACTGTGTTTTATGGCAGGTTCTCTAGGAGATATTGCACATAAAAATGCTTAAATATTGATGAAGACATAGCACATTAAGTGGAATATTAGGTCACTTTTATATAGAGAACAAGGAGAATACTTTCCATTAGGTAATTCAATATAATGCAGAGTATGAATTAATAGCCATTGATTTATCGCTTGTCAAACACAAAATGTGGTTCACTATTTATATAATGAATAAATCTAACAAACATAAAAAGCAAAGGTTAACTTACACATTTATATTTTCAGTGTGAACTTACTAATGTTCTACAATATGTCCATAGGCAGTTTAAGAAAAGAATGTACTGGACCTAATTTTTAAACAACATTGTTGTTCTATGTTGTGGCAGAAATACCTTTAGAACAAGTCTATGAAGAGATGAAGACAGTAGACATTAATTATGCTGTCAAAGAAAACAAGCCATTAACATGTAATGGAGTCCCAAAGATGAGACAAGAGTTCCTCTATTCTCATGAATCATATACTGTCAAAAGAACCTTAAATCACACTTTTGATAACCAACCAGCTCCTGATACCAAACTTGCCATATGTAATATTGACTAAATATTCTAATGACTATAGTTGTTATTACAGAAAACTCACTTATAATTAATATCTTCTAGCTTGTCTGTTATTTGCATATCATCACTCCAATCTATAAATGGTATTTATAAAGCCAGAACAAGAGCAACAGATAGCTCATATGAACATGACAGAAGGTCTTGTGAACCATCAAACTACAATTTATACTTTCAGAATTTTGTGTATTTTGTTCAAATATGACACCCCAAATAATATCAATGCTTTAATACTCAGAGAACACAAAGGCAAATGGCATTTAAGGTCATACAAATGTAGGAACTAGGCTAATTAAAAAAATAAAATCAGTAAACCAATGGCTTAGAAGATACTA